AAAAATTATAGGTATTTATAGACAATTGTATCTTGAGTTATGTCTTTTCATGAAGAGTTGTAACTCTCTATAATTTTTCAGAAAATAGGCTCTGGTCATCGATTACAAGACGTGTAATCGATTACAACGGTTTAAGTTCAAAATGTTTGAACAACAATAGGGTACATCAATTCAACATCTCAACTTCAACTATTATATCACAACATATACATCAATAATAAAACATCATATACAAAAACAATGCAACATCAACCACAACATCAACTAATGGGTTGTCACACATATACAACTAGGAGATATGCAATAATTGAGGTTAAGCAGTATAAGTGGCATAAACCCTACCGAAGCTAACGTTAGACCTATCTCAGCCAGGTCGGGTATAGAACATCGTTAGGAACTCTGAAGAGAACCAGGTGTAGACAATAATAGGCGATTTCTCAAGTGTGTCACTTAGATTCGGAGGTCCAGTATACTATCAGGGTAGAAGGGTTTGGGTGTGGGCCTACCACGGCCTTGACTTGCATCACCAATCCACATATAGAGTTAGCCCACCCACTACCCTCTAAGTACCACGCACCCTTCAGTACCTAGTTAGAGACTATATCTGTAACTAGATACCTTACTCAGATTACTGATTTAACCATGACATGGATCAACTACTTTTATGCCGCTCACATAGTGCTAAGGGATTCAACTTTAAAAACAACTTTCAACTTATTGTCTTAGTACTGTGTATCACAACATAGGACATATATCTTAGACATATGTCCCCAACTTTATAACAATAGACATCTTGGTACAAGTATACAACGATAGACATCTGATAATCAACTTAAATAAACAACTTGAGCAACTATAGTCATCAAATTATCGACTTTAATCACCAACACTAACAAATTGAAATCAACTAAACAACTTTAATCAACACAACATGAAATAAACAATAATAAGAAATTTTAATAAAAAAACTTTGATACACAACACTCTTAACATAACATCTTTTAAACATCCACACACACAACATATATCAACTTAAATCATCAACAACTCAACTATTCTTCAACATACAACATGTGTCCGGGGTGGCCAAGCTCGTGCCCAATGCCAAGGAAACAAGGTATTCCCTGGTGCCTATGCGCTCGACGCAGCTACATCTATGCCCTATATGACCCAAGTCAGGGACTTTCCCTAGGAGTCCCACGCCCGGTGCCTTACTCCCCACACTCGATAATGGTATGTTAGAGACTTACCATCTAAATCTTGTCCGACAAAATCAGTTTTTTGCCTAACGTGAATCAACCCGAGGCTCCCTGCCTCATCTGCGCTTAGCGTGGATTTTTTCTTGCAAAGCAACTAAAATCTCTTTGCCAAGGTTGCTCTCGACGCACTCCTTTTCGCACCCAGTGTGACCATAGTAGAGTTCACCATCATCATCCTACTGATACCGCGCCTAACGTGCCTCATTCCATGCCCGACGCCTTTCAGCCAGAGACTGAATTTCAAGTTCTCGCCCAGTGTGACTAATCTCGCACTCGGCACGAATGAGAAAATTGGTTCTCTGCTACAGACCTGCCCGATGCCATAAATGCGCGCCCAACGTGTGTTCATAATAGCACACATAAAAACTTTGATTTTTCACCAAAATCTACAATTTTAGAAAATCCCAAAGCATATAACCAGTTCCAAGCATTCACCGATGTAAATCAACTAAAATAACTTATAAAATTAACATGTAACCAAGAATTTACTCATCCATCCCTTTCTTCTACAACAATTCAAACCCCTTTCTCAATACCATT